TATATAAAGTTTGAGCACCCACTGAGTTGTGCAAACCCATGGCCAAACTGTCGGGTCGAGTGGGAGCAGCTGCTGGGGAGCTGCGCCGATGAAAGACAGGAACTCCTCTAATCTGTCAGTGGAACTGGATGATAACCAGGGAGCCATGGAAGCTGCCCGGGTCCTGAGAGACTGCAGTCCACTCCAGAGTTTTTACAGACATAACAGAGGCAGTGTGGGGAGACTCGGAGGGACTAAGTAGGTGTTATGCAGTGGTTTTCCATGTTCCTTCAGTAAATTCTTGTTTGATCTTTTGCCTCGCACTTCATTAAACAAACGATGAAATATGCAGCATGAAGGTGCCACTCTGTGCCCAGCAGGACGAGTCATTACACAACCAGAACAGAGGCGAGAAGGATGAGGTGAAGGATGGGCACAGTGGGGAACAGGGATTAACAGGAGACGTGTGCGTGATGGGGAAAATGCGCGAGGAGATGCTGTGTGTTTTATACTCACCCTGAATGTGTTAGGGTGGACGTGATGACCGAACCGGACTGGGAGGAGGTGGAGGAGCAGGACAGGGCTTGCTGGGCAGCCAGGCTGCAGCTCGGTGCCATCATTGGGCCGAGGGCCTGAGGATGATGCAGTGGTTGAGGGTGCTGAGGCTGAGGCTGGGGAGGGTGCTGGAGCTGAAGCTGGGGTTTGAGGTGGTGCCGGTTCGTACAGGGCGGCCCATTGTGGGAAAGCGTCTGTAGGGTGAAGCAGCGGCAACAAACAGCTGGGACCAGTTTGGAGGTCATATCTTGTTGCAGCATGCAGTGTGTGTTTTACAATCTGAGATTATAGTCGCAGTGTGTGTGTGTGTGTGTGTGTGTGTGTGTGTGTGTGTGTGTGTGTGTGTGTTTGATGACTGGCGGGCTGATTTACAAGGCAGAATGTGATCGCCTGGTGTGTCTTTCCTGCAGCAGGTCAGATGTCTGCAGATGTCCAGTCGGGTGCGACTGCTTTCATTTTTATTTTTATTGTATGTCACAAACAGCCGTCACCAAACACAAACCGTGGCAGAGCTTCCATGCAAACGCCTGATTAGTGGTGCATCTTTTCGTTAATTCAACGTTCATTCAACAACAAAAAGAAAAGCGTACGAGAAGCGTCACTTTGTGAGTGGTTTTATGCAGCCTGTACCTTTTTGTTTTTCTCCTCCTCCTGCTCCTGAAGAAACTCCTCCTCGATCTCCTTGAACAGACCCACCTCCTCACAGTTCTGCAGGAATCGCGTYGGAGTCGGAGTCTGGTCTGAAAACATCACCCGAGCCGACACAAAGGAGACAGATTTAGGATCTTTAGYAGATATCCGTGTCTCGCCTTTCCCTGTCCCACACGTTTTTTTTTTTCCAATCAGCAGCAGCAGCCTGTCGGTTGAGTCTATTTGCTTGCCGAACCGTCTGCCGTCCAGCATGTAATGCAAGGAGGAGAGACAAGCCGCGCTCTCAGCCTCGCTCTCTGATAACATCAGTCTGTCTCTCTGAGCCGTCTAAACACGCCGGGGTCAAAGGTCATCTGGGCCCTTTTGTTTTGACATGAGCTTTCCTGCAGGAGGCGAGACGGACTGCAGGACGTGGGACGCGGGGACAGGGTCCCAGCGGGAGAGTCTGCAGAGGTTAGATCTCACGCCGATGTTTACGTCCAGGGAAGCAGCTGTTTCTATGGTTACAGGCTTTATCGAATGACAGTATTTTGACTGTGAGACTGTGAAATCATTGGGTCATGGCATGTGAACACTATTGAGATCATTTCTTCTTCCGTATGTTTTTCAGCATCTCACTCGTTCCACARTTTTTGTGCAATTTCAACAATTCATATATCAAAACATTCAGCTCATTCATATGAGAGGTGCTATGACTTCTGGTGTTTCAGCTATTTATACTTTTTTAGCTATTTCACTTTTTTTGCCACTTTTTTGCCACTGAAAATGAATGGAGCTGTTTTCAACATCCTTAAAATAATTTAAAATGTTTCTAAATCTTTACAGCACCTTACACATTTTGTTCTGGTTAGGCTTTTTTTCCACTTTCTTGTGCTAATTTTAGCTACTTTTTTGCTAATTTTAGCTTTTTTCTGCTATTTCAGCTGCAATTCTGCTTCTTTCTGCTATTCTTCTACTTTTTTGTGCTTTTTTCTGCTACTTTGTGCTGTTTATGCTTCTTACAGATGCTTTCTGCTATATTCAATTATTTGCTGAAATTTTAACTGATGTTTAGCTGCTACTAGCTAAGGTTAGCTTTTCTAAGCTAAATACAATTTTTTGTAGCTATTACAACTTTTTTTCAGCTAAGGTTGGAAAACTTGTGTTCCTTATGCTAATTAAATCATTTCCAGTTACTTTTTAGCTGTTTTACTGAAATTTTCAGCTGTTTTATTTATTTTACTACAAATAATCATTTTTATGTAATTTTATGCTTTTTTCTGTTTTAGTTATTTTTYAACTATAACTATTTCAACTGGGTGCTAATTTCAAATTGTGGCTGCTACCTTTAGCTTATTTTATGCTCATTTAACTATATTATGCTACTTTAGCTATTCTTCTGCTTTTTTCTAATTTTAATACTTTTTTACTGCTACCTAGTGCTATTTATGCTTCTTACAGATGTTTTCAGCTATTTTAGCTCTTAGCTTTTAGCTGTTTTCTGTTTTCAACTARATTTGTGCTCCTTTTTACTGTGTTTATGCAGTTAGGCTTAAGTTTTCAGCATGAAACATTCACACTAGCATTTTTGCAGGAAATGCAATTTCTCTAGTTATTTATTTTTATTATTATTCTGTGTCAAGAAATTAGTTGCAGTTGATGCTTTGAACATGCATTAAAGTGAAATAGGCTTGATATTTTGCAGGACCTTTTATTTAAAACCATCTACATTTTGGGTGTCTGGGTACAGAAGTATTATGTTCAGAAAAAAACACATTTTTGTGGTTTTATAAAGTAATTGCATAGTCATTAAACCAGAAAAAATATTTTATTCAAATTTGTGATTTTAAAATTTCACTGTTTCTCTCCGTTTTTCAGACTAAAAATAATATCCTGTTGAAAACTGTGATACAATTTTTTTTCTATTTACATTTTTGTTTATTCATTAAYAGCAACATATTGTAATAACACACTTGTTGCAGTGTTGAATCAATGTTCTGGAGATTTAACAGCACTTYTCTGTCTATTTTCTAAAATAATAAAGAGAACATGTATTTTCAGCCACTCRCAACTTGACAGAGTTTCTTATTTAGTTGGTTTGTTAATTTCTGAGCAGAAATATAGTTTTGTCTTTTTAATCTTTTAACTTTTCCACCTTCTTCATTCTTGCCTGATGCAAAACTTGTCAATCTACCATACACAAAATTCCATATTTTTTCCAAAATATGTAGCTATTGCTCATGTTCTCCTCATGTTTGCATTGTCTCTCATGCATTTGGGTAAAAAAAAAGAGTGGGATTTGATTGTTTAAATAAAAATTGAATATTATTAATTAAAAAGGATGAATTGTGTGGTTTAACTGAGCAGAAAATAACTCTAGAAGTCTGGTGTTTTAGCAGTGGTGTCGATGTTTATTATYTTTTAGTTTCTTTTGTGCTTAAGTGAAGCGTATAATATTTCCCAATTCTAAACTAATGTGCCCCTCCTTTTTATTGTTTTCAAATCAAACCATGTTTGTCCTAGCCTGATGGAGTTTACTGTACGTGCTGCAACATGAGCCRCTCTGTTTCACAGAACAGGCTGCCTTAGGGAAGGAAGCCTGTGTGGAGGTTATCTGATTCATAACAACATATTGTCATTTTATTTTCCTCCCAGCAAGCTTTGATGCCGAGAAGAGTTTGTTCACATAAACATTCAGCTTCATGCTTATACGTAGCACAGAGTGAGGATAAAAAAAATGAAAGTTAAAGGAAATGAGGTGTCACCTGTAAAAGTTGCGTCCGCCTTGATGGAGGGAAACTTGAGCGTCATCTCATGCTTGTGCCTGTGGATAATCAGGTGCTCCTCCAGCTGGAAGCTCTGCCATCAGAGATAAAAAAGAGATGAGCGCAGCTGGATAACCGATGAATAGAAAAAAAATACCAAAATCTTCTTAACAATGACTTCTAAGATGATAAATACAAGTGGAGCCTATGGGTCACGGGTTAATGGGTAAAACACGGAGGTTGCCATGAAAACACCATTGAATTGTGCAAATTCAACAATTTGTGGAATACAAATTTTAAACACAAAATAGTCTACTGGTGTTAAACTATACATATACAAACTTTAATTTTGCTGATTCATTGCTACAAGTTTGATGGTGCGTTATTTTGTTCAAATCATCACGTGACAATTTGTATCCTCTACCGACCTGAGAGCATCCAGGAGCGCCGCACACATACAGCCTGTCCTGTTTGTCATTCATGTCATACACAAGCCTGCACAAACAGAAGAACAAAAACATCACGAAATGAAGCGGGGGGATTATGTCCTTAAAGCGTGGCAGCTAGAGTTACCACAGATGATGGGGTGTTTGAGACACAACATCATCTGGAGCAAAATGATCCCTCTGGTGTCAGCAGGGGTGCAACAGCCTCCTGTACTTTCTGTGGAACACATGCAATCAGTTTTGTCCTCTCTGTATTTTGTTATTATCATGATCTTTGTTTTTCATGATTATTGAGCAGCGACACTGGTTTCACCTTAATATAAAAACAAGAGTGATCAAAGGATAAACAGCGTCATTCCAGGAGAAAAAAAATGCAACAACAAAGTGACCCACATGGGGTCAAAAGGTTGTCACTCTGATTTCGTTCTGTCCAAGGAAGAAGAGAAATACCCCTGTCTGAGATTTTGCTTTCGAGAAAACATAATTAAGGCCAAAAAGGGGTTCTGGTGTTATGGGAAAGAGTGAGAGCTGGAAAGAGCAAAAAAAAAAAAAAGTATATGTTTCCATAAGACATGGAAAGAGTGCATATGTGTGCGAGGTGATGGAGAGAGAAACGGAAAGGGCAAGTGGTTGTAAGAGAGGGATAGAAGGGAGTCAGGAGGAGGAGGAGGACGGAWYGRAASGAGGAGAGGAAGAATGAGAAAGGGCTGCACTTCAGGGCCTTCTCTCCTGACAGGTTTGAACCTGCCTCAGCCCCCATTTTCCAGCCTCGGGTGAGCAGAGGTGACATCATAGGCGTGCGTGGGTATCTGAGCATGTGAACCCGTGTTACAAAATCAAGCAAGAAGAGCTCATGAAGCCCCATCAGAGGAAAAAATAAAACTGTCCAAACTAAATATAAAACTAGAATCGTAATTTACAGCTGACATTTGGTAGAAAAGTACTTTTTAAATTAACAAACCCCTGCATATCCTCCATGTCAGATTGTAGCAGACTCAGCACATTTCCAGTCAGTTCACAATGACATCATGCTTAATGCATAAATCCTATACAGCAGAGCAGATGGCATGTTGCACATTTAARACAGATTACCTAATCCCACTTCTCAAGTTCTTTGTTATTATTATTTTTTGACTCAGTCCTCATTTTATTTTCCTCCCTCCTCCTTTTTGGTCACGTTAAATAAATGGTATCAAACCAAATCCATCCAAACATTACTTACTGTTTGTCAGAGTTGCCATGTTTGACAACAGCAAGGCATGCAGCTCATTCAGCTCAACTGTAAAGGTTCTGCTTCTGTCAGGAGGAACCGTGAAAGCCGGCGCGTCCCTCTCCTCCACTCCCACCACCTGTTCAGCTCGCAAACAAGCCGGCCGCGGCTGTGTGAAGGCTGCTGTCACACCCCCCAAATAGACACAAGAAACCCGTCCGCTCAGTGACGGCACCTCACGCGGACTATAGCTTCAAACAGGGAGGAAAAAAAGAAAAAAGAAAAAGTTCCGCCGCTAACTTTCTCTTAGCGCTGTTTAAATATTAATAARTAAGAGAGTAATGGCAGCGGTGTGAGCAAGCGGGAGCTTTCGCCGTCGCTCCTCCAAAGCCGAAAAGTTTTGTGAATGGAAGCTTACCTACGAGCGGGAGAGGCTGGACGAGCGGCGCACCGCGGAGGAACCACGTTGGACTGGAGCGGGATGACAATACGATCTATTTACAGCAGCATTACATCACCCCGACGGTGACGTCACGTGGGATTCCTGAACTTCTAAATCATTGCGGTCCGGTACCGAGAGAGAGTGGGGAAGGGAAGAGGCGGGGCTACATGGGACCGGCCGGCAAAASTGGTGGGCGGAGCTTAGACGGCAGGGGGACGGCCGCGGCAGCACGCGGCGCTGCGTGCCTGCGTGCGTGCGGATCTGGACAGACGAACCGGACCAGACACACCAAGTTAAAAAAGTTTATAGGACAGACTGAGGCGGCGGAATGACTCACTTTTTGTAAGGTTTTTTTTTTTTTTTTTTGAGAGTTTGAGACTCGACCTCATAACAG